TGGTATTGATAAAATTGTCAATAGTGTTATAAATTGCCTTGTTACATGTAGTGCAGATGGCTGTTGGATCAGCAACTACAATAGAATCTATAAAGTCACTGCCACCAAGATTGAACGGAGATTTAGGTAAGTTGATTGAAGTGGTGATGTCATTTTCAACTAAGCAAAAGTGGCTTGGGTTTCCAGCGCCTTTAAAACATATTGTTTCCCTCACAGGAGAATAGAAAACGGCAGCAGGAAATATGATTTCATTGCTGTGGTTTTCATATCATCTGGATTACATCCGGTTTGAATTGTCTTAATAGCATATGCAACACCTTGATCAGAACATTTTGGTGCCACACAGAATTCATTAGAGAATTCTATCAAGTCAGGTTGAAGTTTTTGAAGTCCAGTCTTTGGATTGGAAATAAGTGATCCAATTTCACTAGGATCAACTAAAATTGGTAAAAGTGGTAAAAATGCAGGAATTAGAATGCATTGTACAAGTTCTGGAGAGGTAAGAATACTAAGTAATGTAGTTTGACATGATTGCGATAAATCTTCCACTAAAGCTATTGGGTCATGACCCTGAGTAAGTTTAGCAACCCTAGTGATTTCATCTGGAGTGATAACAGATATTGTCGCTTTTTTTGTGGCGCTGAAAATCCTAAATCCGTTATAGCAAGAAAGAGTAAAATGACGATAACAAAATTATTTTTCATTATTTTTATTATTATTATTATTTTGTATACAGACTTGAGAAAGAGAATAAGCTGCTTACTTTAAATACTTTATTATTGATAATCAAATTAATAATTAAAAAATTGAATTCGGACTTGTTTACATTTTAGATCAAGATTAGACTTTTTTCATTCAATTAATATATACTAACAATGATTCGGTCAATTCAATTAATTAGTTTCTGAGAGATCGATCTCTCATTTAATTAATGACGTCTTTTATTAAAAAGAAAGTTTGTCAAATTAACGACGAGCGAGTTCCTTAAATTCAGGGTTAATGATGAGAGTGCTTTGTTTTGAACAAAATAATCAACAATCTGAGGCTCGTTTTTCATTATTGTATTGTTTAATACCAATAAAAAAAAAAGTTTTTTTTACTCTTGGGGATGTAGTAGAATTGAATGAAATTTTTCATATATATATGTATATATAACGATCTTTAATCAGAGTTCTAAATAAGAATTATTCAAATAAAATAAAACAAATGAAACAAAAATAAAAGTAAAATAAATAAATTTTTATTCGAACCATTAGTTTAAGATCGAACAAGAAATTATGTTACAAATAGAATCATTGCTTAATTGCAATTTTAGCTGCTTGTTTTTTTTTTTTTTTGCAACATTTGATTAAATCTAGATATTTATGGTTTAATTTGTTGGGGAGAGGCTTTTATTTGATTATTTTCAGCATGCATTTGAAGATTTTTCAACATATCATCTGAAACTTTAAAAAGCTGAAATGACACTATGAGTACATCATGTGAGAAAGAATTCTATTAAAAACAAACATTGAAAAACCTAAGAGATTTTCACAGATCATCCTAGTTAATTTCTTTTAATCAGTAAATGTGCCCCGAAATTTTATATTAAAATTCCCTGGTTGTTGGCCATCCATTGCTTCAATAACAGCTTCTATTTTCCTTGGCATACTCTATTAATTTCATTTGAACATCATTTGTAATTTTTCTCATTAAAACTTCTCATGTTATTTGGATGCCTTTTAATTCTTTCTTACAAATGTTCAATTGGGTTCAAGTTGGGCAATATTTTTGAATTTGTAACATTATTTTTATAAAGACCAATTATTTCACCATATTGGCTTTCACTTAAATTTGACATTTTAGTGTTGAAAATTTTTCAAAGGGTTTGCTCAAAAATTTATTAAAAATGATGTTTGTTACGAAAAACTTGGATATTTAATTTCAGAATTTTATGTATAGTTAGTTATTAATGCATTTTTGTTTAACTAGACTTTTTTTGTCATTATTTTTCTAGAAGAGTAGAATTTAGTGATGAGCGTGTTTATAGCCACTAGTTTATACAGGACCCCGCAAACTATGTAGATAGGTTACTGCCGCAATTGGGTCAAATCTTATAGTAAAATACCTAAAAATTTTACTATTAGAAAATGCAATGTTGGTGAAAATTACCAAATTTGGAAAGATTGTCTCCAATAAGTCAATCGCAGTGTGTGGGTCAAACCTTATATCAAACCGTGATTTTTGTATGTAACCTAACTATATAGTTTGCAGGGCCCTGTTTACACCCTGTTATATACCATTACCACTTTTATATCACTTTTATGCTACCATGGTAGTATGAAAATAATAGAATTTTTTTTTACAAATATACTGGCTTCTTCTGCAGCATCGGAACGTAATTGGAGTGATTTTGGTTATATCCATAATGTTGGAAAAAATAGACTCACTATATATTAAACTTAAGATTATCTAACTTATATGAAAAAGGTTGAAAAATTATTTTGAATATCAAGCAGAGATCAGTGATGAGAGTGAAAATGAAGATGGAGATGAAGATGAAGAAATTAACAATGACTTGGATTTGATTATAATGACTATGATTATGGTGGCAATAATTATGGTGATGTTGATGAATTTATTAACTTAGAAAATAGCAGTAATAATTTCAAAAATTTTGTCCCAAAAAACTGCACTATAGAAAAACAAGTGCCTACATTTACAAAATTACAAATAAATAAATAATCATTTTTATAGTCATGTAATTATAATTAATATCAACAAAAAAAGTTTAATTGATGACAATTTAGAAAGTAAAGTGAAGCAATTCAACAAGAAAAAATAAATAAAAAAAACCTTTATATTATTATTTATGCTGCTTTTAATTCCAAATCTTTTGATTCTTTACTTCCAACTCATTGTTTTCACTTTTCAATTTATTAACTTCACTTTCCAATTTATTGACTTCACATTTGAAATTGTTGAAGCCATTGTATATAATTTTCAATTGTTGAATGTTTATTTGTAATTTACAATTCTTGGGTTTTATTCAATTTCTCAATTTATTGTTTTCTTTTTTCAATTCTTCATTTTCATTTGTTAATTCTTTGTATTTATAAGTCAATTCATCGTATCTATAAGCCAATTCATTGTAACTTCTTAAAATATTAGTATAATTATCTTTATTAATTATAGAAAGCTCTCCAAAGTCAAAATGGTTGTTTGGTATTGTAACTTGTCCTTGCACAAATTGTTGTAATAATTGTAGTTGTATGAATTTTTGCTGATTCTTCAAGAGTTGTTGCTGATGTTGTGTGAAGCTTTGCTGTTTTTGTAGGAGCTTTTGATGTTGTTCTAAGAGTTCTGAGAGATGTTGCTGGTGTTGAGTGGATTTTTGTTTACATTCTAAGAGTTGCTGCTGTTGCTGCTGTATGAATTGTTCCAGTTGTTGCAAGTGTTCTTGCTGTTTTTGTAAGTGCTCTTGCTGTTGTTGTAAGAATTTTTGTTGTTGCAAGAGTTCTTGCTGTTGTTGTAAGTGTTGTTTATGTTGTTGTTGTTGTGAGAGTTGCTGCTGCTGTTGTGTTAATTGTTGCTGTTTTTGTAATAGTTTTTGCTGTTGTTGTAAAATCTTTTGCTGTTTTTGTGGAGGTTGTTGCAATTGTTGTTGTAAAAGTTGTTGCTGTTGTTCTAAAACTTCTAAAAGTTGCTTTCGTAAGGGCTGTTGTTGTTGTTGTAAAACATGTTCTTGTTGTTGCTGTTGTTGTAAAACTAGTTCTTGTTGTTGTAGCATTTGTTGTTGTTGTTGTTGTAAGAGCTGTTGCAATTGTTGTGTGAGTTGTAGCTGTTTTTCCAAGAGTTGTTGATTTTGTTGTGAAGGTTTTCGTTTTTGTTGTTTAAAGAGTTGTTGCTGTTGTTCTATGAATTGTAGTTGTTGTTCTAAAAGTTGTTGCTGATGTTGTGAGAATAATTGTTGTTGTTTTTTAAAGTTTTGTTCCTGTTGTTCTAAGAATTCTTGCTGAAGTTGATTTGCATCATAATCATTCAGATTGTCTTTATCAGTGTCACCATCATCATACTCATTAAGACCTTCTAAAGTAACAATTGAATCCGCCATTTCTTTTTTTTTTAAAAAAAATTTTGTGAAACCAAACTACTACGTACGCATATGCACAATAATAATAATCAATGATTTTAATTCGTAAACCATTTATCAACCAAGGAATTTTTTATATAGGTACATAAGATCGACAGGGCTAAGATAACATAGTAAATTTCTTATTTTTCAAAATGACGACTACATCACAAATTTCAAACATATTAAATCAAAAAAAACCTATTATTTTACGTGGTATTATTTCATTATGACTCATTTTCAACAAAGCAGTAAGCCCCTTCAATATGGAAGTTCACATAGTTCATAAACGAATACACTTATGTCATGATATGCTAAAAGAGTAGAAAAATTTATAGAAAATCGCGTGTTGCCCTTCCTTGGAACGGCCATGTGATTCTCCCCAAGGCCGGTCACACCCCTTGCATAGATAATTTTATATTAACCCAAAATCTTCTAAATGGCGACTACCTCTATAGCTTTATCTAAATTTTTATTAATAAAAAATTTTTTTTTGGATTTCCATGTTTTTTGCCATTTTTTCTATAAATTTTAGTGTGATATATAAATTTGGTACGTAACATAACAATTTAACAAACACAATTATATTAAAATTCCCTGGTTGATGCGAATTAATATTAAATCTAAGATTCGAATACAGCCAAACTTATCAACAGAAGCTTTAAAATAATTATTATTACCGCATCCATCTTGTAGACGTTCAGCGGAGATAAGAGTTTTTAAGAATATTCTACACATAAATTTGTCTTAATACTGTTCTGAGTCAGTTTATAATTAATTAATTTGATGCAAACCAATCTTGATTAATATGACAACAAAAGTATGTGATCATAATAATAATTATTATAATTGTGAAATTATATTATTACTTGTTGTTGTTTCCCAACTCGCCTTCCAGTAAGTCTCTTAACAAAAGTTCTTAAAGAACAAATAACATCAAGCACTCTTATTCAAAAATTTCTACAATCTGTGAAATATCCTGCCCTGGAAGAAATGGCATGTTTAGCGATTTGTTTAATGAATTATAACTTCAGGCCTGCTATAATTTACCTGGCGAATCGACCAGCAAGAATAATTTTATTGACGAATGTATGATAAACCAGCTTTATGGCTAATAATAATAAGTTCTCCTGCAGAGTGGAATAGGCTCATTATATATTTATATATTTAGGATATATATACTGTACACTACATGATCAATAGTATTGCACACCTTAACACAATAAATTGTACAAACTCGCATAATGAAAACAAAAATTCATATCAATTTGTAACTTAGTTTTTTCATGCAAAATTCTACTCTTCTATTATGTTTAGAAATAACGGATAAAAAATTCTCCCAAAAATTTTTTGAAATATTTAACATAATAAAGTTAATATTTTATTGGTCACCCATTGCTTCAATAACAGTTTCTATTCTTGGCATATTCTATCAATTTTATTATGACATAATTTGTAATTCTTCTCATTAAAATTTCTTGCATTCTTTGGACGTCTTCTAATCCTTTCTTACCATAAATGCTCGATTGGGTCAAGTCAGGTGAATTTGTAACATTATTTTATAAAGATCAATTATTTCACCACATTGGATGACATTTTAATATTGAAAATTTTTCAAAAAGTTTGCTCACATGTATGGTTATTAAAGATGTTTTTGTTCAATTAATTTTTTTTTGTCTGAAATATCTTTGAAAAAAAAATTTTCAAACGAATTTTTTATTTCACCATAAAAGAGTAGAATTTTGCATGAAATCCTAAGCTGTAAAATTATATATATGTGATTCTTTTGTGTTTTGGTATGCGGGGTTTTGCAATACTTATGACCATGTAGCGAATGTATTTTTTGACGTTTATTTTGCGAGATAAATAATTTTATTTCATTCAACATTCAACCGCATTAACATCGGATGTTGATCATCCTAAATCATTAAAGGACCCGTTGATGAACGAATGTGGAGTTCGACATACTGTATCAGTGATTATTGTCCAATTTGAAAAACTGCCTATGGAATTTTAAAAAAAAATTACAAATAAATAAGAAAAGTTTAATCGACAATTAGAAAATCAAATGAACAATGAAGCAACCAAACCAATATATATTGTTTCCTTAATTTGTCCAACTCATTTCTTTTAAGTGAAGGCTTAATGCAATTTATATAAAAAAATGTTGCATTTATTGTCATTATTGTATTTACTTTCCAATTCTTTTTTTCATTTTTCAATTCATTGTTTTCACTTTCCAATTTCTTGAGTTCACTTCTCAATTTATTGTTTTCGTTATTCAACTTGTTGATAGTTTTATCGATTTTTTTATTGATTTTATTTCTCAATTCATTGATTGTTTAATTTCTAATTTATTTTTTATTGATTTTATTTCTCAATTCATTATTCTTACCTTTCAATTAATTTCCAACTCGATGTTTTCCACTTTCCAATTTATGGATTTTATTCAAATCTATTATTATCAATCACTAAAAATTTATTATTTGGCGATCGCAAACATCTGATTTCGATTGGCTAAATAAATTTCTCCAATTTCGTCAGTGTCAAAGATCCTTGACGATAAATATGAATTTTGTCATATATAATTTCGTCGACCATTATTAATATTGACTGTAGTAATAATAATGATAAAATACTTACTTGCTGTTGATTATTTAAAATAAAGTGAAATCAACAGTTAATATATTTTCAAAAACAATGATATCGGCCATAATATCTATTGTAATAAATGAAATATAGAGCGTACCATAGTGGACAAAAGTCCAGTTATTAATTACAGTCAAATCTTGCCATAGCGGATGAACGGAATATATATAAGAAAATTTTTATATGTTTTTAATATGTGAAGCAAAAATTTTAAAAATCCGTTATGACAAGAATTTTACACTCCGCTGTGGCAAAGGTTTGACTGTACAATTATTAATTACAATTAATAATAATAAGTAAATTGGATATAGACCCAGTTAATAATTAATTATAATGAAATACTTACGTTTCTTCAAACTATGGTCAACCTGGCTAAAAGCATCAAATGCCATTGATAAATCAGCAACGGAAAGATAATCAAGGACGGAAGAAAGATACTGAATTTCGTTTTGATTGTTCAGTTGATTCCTGTCAATTTTCACTTTTTTTCTCGCGAGAAAATTTTCTTTTTTCAAATTGTATGAAATTAATAATAAAATTTGAAATAAGGAATAATCCAGTCGTTTCATGAATTTTTGGTTATTCTCAGTAATCTCCGTCTTTTTTTTTTTACAGATTAATGGATTTGTATTATGAGCTTTTTAAAAAAAACTCCATAAAAACTGAATGGCGCTAATGATAATAAAAATAAAAATATTTTAGAACATTGAAATGTATAACATGTTTGACTATTTAATAACTCTGTCCTTTTACTGTATATTGTGCAATAATAAAATCTTTTTCCAAGCAAACAGAAGACTGTTTAGTTTGGTTTTTGGTATTTGGTTTTTAAGAAAAGCATTATTCTATTATTATATTTTTAATTTACGATTAAATTGATTATTATTTATTATATACTATATTAAAAAATATTTTACGAATTTGACCTTTTTTTTTTTGCAGAGACGAAATATCTTCCTGCATTTGATTTGGTTTTTAACAATTAAAACTCGTGAATGAAAGATAAAAAGAGAATTTTTCTCTTGATCATGTAAAAATACATACAAAAAACACCTGGAAATTTTTAAATTTATTATATTTATCGTTCCCATATAAACACATTTAATATTTAATAAAATAGTCATCCTAGATGTAATTTGTTCAATTAAATTTTTTTGGATGAATTTTTATTCTATTTTTCTAGGAAAGTAGAATTTTGCATGTATATATAATCATGAAATTCCAAGCTACAAAATAATATAATTCTTGTGTTTTTACCACGCGGAGCATTTTTTGACGATAAATTAACTTGTGAAATGAATACTTTTATTTCATTCAACATCCAACTGCATTTGCGTTGGATGTTGGTCATCCTAAATTTGTTAACGACATATTTGTGATTATTGTTCAATAAAAATGGAATACAGAATTTATAAGAATTTTATCTCGAAAAACTGCAAATAAACAAGCATCTTTGTAGTAGTCATGTAATTATAATTAATATCAACAAAAGTCTAATTGATGACCATTTAGAAAGTAAAGTAAAGCAATTCAACAAGAAAAAAAAAATAAAAACCTTTATATTATTATTTCATTATCAGATACTGTTTTAATTCCAAATTTTTATTCTTTACTTTCCAATTCATTGTTTTCACTTTTCAACTTATTAACCTCACTTTCCAATTTCTTGAGTTCACTTTTCAATTTGTTGACTTCATTTTTCAATTTATTATTTTCACTATTAAATCTACTGATTGTTTTATCTTTTTTTTTATTTTGATTATCCAAATTATAGTTCTCATTTTCTAATATATTGACTTCACATTTCAATTGATTGATTGTTTTATCATTTGTAATGCTTTTACTTTTCAATTCATTGATCATTTTATTGCTCTTACTTCCCAATTCAATTTTTTCACTTTTCAATTTATTGACTTCATTTCCCAATTCATTGTTTTTACTTTCCAATTCATGGATTTTATTGAATTTATTCTCAAAATTTTTAAAATCACCTATCAATTTATTGTTTACATTTTTCAATTCTTTATTGTTATTTGTTAATTCATTGTATTTACTAACCAAGTCATTGTATATAGTTTTCAATTGTTGATTTTTACTTGTTAATTCATTGCATTTACTAGCCAAGTCATTGTATGTAATTTTCAATTCATGGATTATTTTATTGGATTTGCTTTCTGATTTTTTGATTTCACTTTTCAATTTCTCCTGATCTCTTAAAATATTAGTATAATCATCTTTACTAATTATAGAAAGCTCTCCAAAATCAAAACAGTTTGTTGGTATTGTAACTTGTCCTTGTACAAATTGTTGTAATAATTGTAGTTGTATGAATTTTTGCTGATTCTTCAAGAGTTGTTGCTGATGTTGTGTGAAGCTTTGCTGTTTTTGTAGGAGCTTTTGATGTTGTTCTAAGAGTTCTGAGAGATGTTGCTGGTGTTGAGTGGATTTTTGTTTACATTCTAAGAGTTGCTGCTGTTGCTGCTGTATGAATTGTTCCAGTTGTTGCAAGTGTTCTTGCTGTTGTTGTAAGTGTTCTTGCTGTTGTTGTAAGAATTTTTGTTGTTGCAAGAGTTCTCGCTGTTGTTGTAAGGGTTGTTGCTGTTGTTGTTTTTGTGTAAGCTGTTGCTGTTGTTGTGTTAATTGTTGCTGTTGTTGTAATAGTTTTTGCTGTTGTTGTAAAATCTTTTGCTGTTTTTGTGGAGGTAGTTGTAATTGTTGTTGTAAAAGTTGTTGCTGTTGTTCTAAAACTTCTAAAAGTTGCTTTTGTAATGGTTGTTGCTGTTGTTGTAAAACTTGTTCTTGTTGTTGCTGTTGTTGTAAAACTAGTTCTTGTTGTTGTAGCATTTGTTGCTGTTGTTGTTGTAAGAGCTGTTGCAATTGTTGTGTGAGTTGTAGCTGTTTTTCCAAGAGTTGTTGATTTTGTTGTGAAGGTATTCGTTTTTGTTGTTCCAAGAGTTGTTGCTGTTGCTCTAAGAATTGTAGCTGTTGTCTTAAAAGTTGCTGCTGATGTTGTGAGGATAATTGTTGTTGCTTTTTAAAGTTTTGTTCCTGTTGTTCTAAGAATTCTTGCTGAAGTTGATTTGCATCATAAGCATTCAGATTGTCTTTATCACTGTCACAATCATCATATTCACTAAGACCTTCTAAAGTAACAATTGGATCCGTCATTTCTTTTTCTTTTTTAATAAAAATAAAAATAAATAAATTTGTGAAACCAAATTTAAATTAGAATTACTACGTATATGAATGATTTAATATTAATATTAATATTAAATCTAAGATTCGAATACAGCCAAACTTATCAACAGAAGCTTTAAAACAATTAATATTACCGCCTTCACCTTGTAGACGTTCAGCGAAGATAAAAAGTTTTTAAGAATATTCTACATATAAATTTGTCTTAATACTGGTATAAGTCAGTTTATAATTAATTAATTTGATGCAAACCAATCTTGATTAATGACAACAAAAGTATGTGATCATAATAATAATTATTATAATTGTGAAATTATATTATTACTTGTTATTTCCCAACTCGCCTTCCAGTAAGTCTCTTAACAAAATTTCTTAAAGAATAAATAACACCAAGCACCCTTATTCCAAAGTTTCTACAATCTGTGAAATATCCCGCCCTGGAAGAAATGGCTTGTTTAGTGTTTTGTTTGATGAATTATAACTTCAGGCCTGCTATAATTTACCTGGCGAATAGACCAGCAAGAATAATTTTATTGACAAATGTATGATAAACCAGCTTTATGACTAATAATAATAAGTTCTCCTGCAGAGCGGGATAGACTCATTATATATTTTATATATTTGGGATATATATACACTACATGGTCGAGAGTATTAATAGTATTGCATACCTAACACAACAAATTGCACAAAACCCGCATAATGAAAACAAAAATTCATATCATTTTGTAACTTAGTTTTTTCATGCAAAATCCTACTCTTCTATGATGTCTAGAATAATAATGAATAAAAAAAATCCGTCAAATTGAAATAATTAACATACACCTGAAATTATATAATAAAGTTAATATTTTGTTAGTCACCCATTGCTTTCAATAACAACTTCTATCGATTTGATTATGACATAATTTGTAATTCTTCTCATTAAAATTTCTCGCATTCTTTGGGCGCCTACTAATTTTTTCTTACCATAAATGCACAATTGGGTTCAAGTCAGGTTTATTCATCATAAAAGAGTAGAATTTAGAGGTTGGAACCGGTTAACCTTAACCGGTTAGAAACAGTTAAATGTAGATCACCCTTAAATTAGTTAATTTGAATTTCCAGCCACTTCAGTCCCCAGCGAGCGGCTTTTTTCAGATGCTGGAAATAATATGACAAGTAAACGTACAAAACTTAAACCAAAGTTTTTTCAAGAGATTCTTTTTGTAAAAAGAAATTCAAAATATATGAATATATTTGCATTGCTTGACAATGAGGTAAAATTTTTTTGATATATTATTTTTTTAAATTACATTTTTTTGTAAAATGTATATAGAAAATTTTAATATAAATTATAATTTGTTATTGTAATTTTTTATAAATTATAATTATTATTATAATTGTATTTGAATTTTTTTGACAAGTAAATAAAAAAAATAAAAATTCTTTTTATATAATTAACCGGTTTTTTTGGCCGGTTCCAACCTCTAGTAGAATTTTGCATGAAATCCTAAGCTGCAAAATTATATATATATGATTTTTTTGTAATTTAGTATGCAGGGTTTTGCAATACTTTTGACTATGTAGCGAATGTATTTTTAGACATTTATTTTGCGAGATAAATAATTTTATTTCATTCAACATTCAACTGCATTAGCATTGGATGTTGGTCATTATAAATTATTAAAGAACCCGTTGAAGAACGATTGTGGAGTTCGACATATTGTATCTGTGATTATTTTCCAATAAAAATTGATTTGCCTATTTGAAAAACTGCGCTATGGAATTTTAAAAGTGCTTATGTTTACTAAATTACAAATAATAATTAATAAATGGTCACTTTTATAGTCATGTAATATTAACAAGAAAAGTTTAATCGACCATTAGAAAATAAAATGAACAATGAAGCAACCAAACCAATATATATTGTTTCCAATTCCAAATTTCTTTTCCATTAGTTGTTTTCATTATTCAACTTATTGATAGTTTTATCAATTTTTTTATTGATTTTATTTCTCAGTTCATTGATTGTTTAATTTCTAATTTATTTTTTTCGCTTTTCATCATTAGAACTATAATTGAATTGTGTAACGAATATCTTGACTTTTTAATAACTTCATAACGATTTTTGGAAATTTCTGTGATGATCACCATTACCGTTTAAAATAAATAATAAAAAAAACAATAAAACTGGCCTAACTGAAGAATGTCCCAAAAAGTAAATCAGGGTTTCACGGGAATGAACTGGTTTCTTTTAGTATTAAGAATAGGACATGGACATGATCAGTGCTGTGACCCGAAACAGAAACTAACAGAAACCACCCGAAACTAGTTTAGGTTAGTAGTTTATGCTTAGGTTTAGTTTTAGGTTTAGCTTTCTGCTTAGTGTAAGTTCATTTTCCGAAACGTTTCGGGAAGCCAAAAGAGTTTCTGGTCACAACTAATGATGTATGACGAAATGTTTTTGGAATTGAGAAACTATTTCGTCAAATCACTAAAAAATGACGAAAGACTAAAC